AGTTCGGCAAGCCTTCGCGAAACCTTTGGTTTTCCATATCTTGCTGTCATCACATGGTCAGTTGTTCTATGTTTTCCTGAGGCTTTATATGGGTATATAGAAAAAATATATGATGGTTCAAAGGGTATAGACCATCCTATACCATCCTATATCCATTCTATGTATATGAGGGTATAGGATGGTATAGGTCAGAATTGGATACCCCAAATATATGATGGTTCATACTAAGCATATGGGTCTGTCTGAAAATTGGGGGATACGGTACCAATGTACCTCTGAAAAAATATCCATTTCATAGGGATGTTTTTGATCACCACCCTCTGGTAACTGTCCCATGACGAACTGGAAAATCACCATGTCCAGTGGGAAAATTCACTATAAATGGCCATTTCCAATAGCTCTTTTTATGCTTACCAGAGGGTAACCCCATATATTCCCATGATTTTCCCATAAAACCATATAAAACCATATAAAACCTCCATTTTCAATAGCTCTTTGTTAGTCATAACCAGGCCGGGTAACCCACAGCTTCAGACAAAGCCACAGCTTCAATCTGTCCCATCCCCAGCCATCCCCAGCCACCCGAGGAGCCTCCGGAGTGAGTAACTTGGGCGCCAGCGTCACTTTGCACTGCCTGCGGCGTTCGGATATGGATCTGGCTGAATTACCCTCCAGTAAATTAACATAGACCCTGGCAGACAGGGATTGGAAGATTCGTTTCAACTAAACAATGGCTATTTTCAGGGTCTATGTGAATTTACCAGAGGGTAGATATCTAATCACTATAATGGAATATAAAGAATGGATAGATATGATGACCGGTTGGTGGTATACCTACCCCTCTTGAAAAATATGGAAGCCAATGGGAAGGATTATCTTATATAATATGGAAAATAAAACATGTTTGAAACCTCCAACCAGATAGATATGATGATATTACATAATTATCAAATAGATGTGATGTAATGGAAATAGTTAACAGCTAATAAATATAATATAATAGGTACAATCTACATTTGAATTTATCTGAATAGTTAATACACAATAGATAATCAGATTAATTCACTAAGTCACTCATGGGTTATATAACTAACATATACTATAATATATATATACTAGGTATATTATATATAATGGGGATTAATAAATAACTTGATACACACATATATATAGTATCATAATATCATAATGTTATTTACTAAATATTAATGTTATATTACTAAATATTACTATGTTATATATAGATAAAAAAACTAATATTATTCACTAATACAACATGATATAACTAACATAGAAAGCCAGCAACGGGATCTGCTTGGCGCTTCACTTCTAACGGATGGTTGGAGATCATCATCCGCAGCTGAGGTCACGGATCCCAAGTGGTCACCTTGAAAAAACGCCCCCTGTTTTTGGCCATATGGTAACGACAAGCATAGGAAATACCATAGAATAAAATGAAACGACACCATAGCAAAAACAGCTATGGTATTGAATATGTTTAGTTGTATTACGAAGCAATTATCGAATATAACTAAACCATAGAATACAAGAATTATCTAATAAGAATTAGTAGTTATATCACGTTATACCATGTTATACCCATGATCATGAACTAAACCATAGAAAAAAAAATGAGAATGATTTCAATGGGTTTGTCTGAAACTAGTCTACCTAGAATTCCAATGGATAATGATGATCTTTCCATTCAAATTGCTATTTGGGGGTATACCCTAATTTATCCTAATTTCAAACATAAATGGACATGCACCATCAACACACGTAGAAATCACAAAACACTGCCTAGCTTGGTGTGTGGTTCTGTCACCCTCAAAGGAACAATATACACCACCCCGCCGGCAACGAGGAACAGTGTCGGCGGATACAGCTATTGAACATGAATAACGGTAACAGCAACGGCAACAAACCGCGACAAAGAAAGGAAAACGGACACTAATACTAATAATGAATCACAATAAATCATGATAATACATATAAATAATAATAAATCATTAATAATATATATATATATATAAATCATAATAAATCATTTCACAATACATCATTATTTAAGAAAAACAAAAAGAACAGTGACTCTCAAGTTGTGTGTTGACGCCTTTCCAGCAGCTGTGCGACATCGTGGAGACTGGAACAACGGCCATAAGCCGTCGGACAGAGGTCCAGTTTGTTACCTGGGAAGGTTGCAACCCGTGATGGGAACATCATCCCGGAAAAAGTCACTTGGGAACATCACTCTAGTAATACTGTAATACTCTAGTGATGTTCATGAGAAATTTTCATGGGATATCTAGAATCTAGAGTTCATGGAAATTATCCCATTAACATGATGAGTTATATAAGTTATATCCCAGTGTGATCCCAATAACATATATATATTTATATATCCAATTTATCCCATGAGTTAATGGGCAACTTCGAAAACTGATGATTGCCCTCTGGTAATCACCTTGGTGATGTAAAATCATCACGATGATGATGAAATCGCCAGGGCATTTGGGGTGGCTTTCATGGTGATTCTGAAGACGTGATAAAATTGCATGCCTGGAAAAGCTATTATGTATACCATCTGGTTATGACTAACATAGCCATGGAAAAGCACCATGCTATTAATAGGTAAACCATCGAACTAAATGGGTCATTTTCCATGGCTATGTTAAATAACCAGAGGGTAATTATTATTGATTGGGTTGGTTAAAGGGAAGATTTACAGGAAAACCCCATATTTCACGGTAAAAAAGCATGCTTTCCGATTAAGATGTTCCGGTCAAGGTTTTCCCTTAAACCAATTCAATGAATTCTACTTTACTATCCACATATCTCTTCATACAGCAGTTCCCAGAGATCTTTAGATGATTTTCCTGTCCGCCAGTGAGGGCGGACCGCGGGATGCAGCCGATACAGTTTTTGATCCGATGGATCCGCTATGGCTCATCTAAGACCGGGCCGCTGGTTTTTGTTGAGTTTGCTTAATGTCAAATGCTCCATTGCTTAATGGTTATTATATGGTTAATCATAATCTTAATCCATATCCCATATGCTCCATGATGCTGGTAAATTTACCTACAAGACTGGGTGATTTTGTTCGGGCAAATGTAGGTAAATATACCAGCACCATGGAGCATATGGGTAATGTCAAATGCCTTCAGCAAGCCACCCAAAATTTTCCCCCGCCAAGAACACCAAGAACACATCATCATCTTCCCGAGTATTTGATTAGCAATGTTGCGGTATCCCAATTTTGGAGTGGCAAAGCCATACAGTACATCTCAAGATGTTCGTTATACATCCCATTTTGGTCGATTTATATCCGCATTAGATCCCATTATATCTCTAGTCTGGTTGGCTTCTACTGTTGAATATGCTTAGCTGGTTGGTGGTTTTAACCATGGGCAGGATTATCCCATATATTATGGGAAATAAAAAAATGTTTGAAACCACCAACCAGTTATGATCCCCAATCTATCCCTCTAGTGTGGATGGATTTTGTTGGACAAACCCAGTACATCCCCAACATGTTAATGAATCATGGTCATGGTCCCAAAATTTCTACAGTAACTACTCATTTTATCCCTTCCCCAAATATTTAACACTCCCGTGGAAATCCTAGTATTGGATCATACTGGATCTATTCATGAATTGAGGTCCCTTATTGGGGGTATAAAAAAATCCTATAGGCTATTATGTATATATATATATATTCTACATATATATATATTATTTTTAAAAAAATATATGTCCCTAAGAGGTTCAACCCATTTTCCAGCACGTTTTCATGGCAAAAACCCATCGTTAAAAGCCACCGCTTTTACGCGGTCAGTGCCAAAACCCCGTGACTTCCCCGTCCGGTCCCCAGCTGGTCCCCAGCTTTTTTTCGCGAAACCAACAAGCGCCACCTTTGGACGCCAAGCGTCATGGTCTCATGGTGGTTTCACGACAGGAATGATATAGCAATAAGGGCCTAGATCTATGGGAGATCTATGGCAGATCTATGGAATATGATGAATATGAATTTTAATCAATGGCCATGCAACAGGAACCGATTGATTGGAGATACCTACCATATATGTTTGGCCTATTTTTCAGGCAGATGTAGGGGAATATCACCACAATTCATATGGCCTTATAGGATCCTGAAATTCCTATTGAATAAGGGCTATAATATGTAATGGCTATGGGTCAATGGCTATATCTATGGCCATAGAATGGCTATATAGCTTCTAATGCATAGAATGGCTACATATAGAAAATGCCATAATATGTGTGTATAATTCTATGGCTATGGGTCAATACCTATAAATAATTAGAACATATTAGAAATACCATTTGTAGGGGGATGAACATCCACAAAACCAGCTATTTTGATGTTCACCAGCGGTATAAGGTTTTGACCCATAACCATATATGTGTGGTAATGATAGTAATATACTAATGAATGGAACATGATTACTAACCACCATCATATTCATGCTTCTATAGAAATGAAAGTAATTCGCAAATATCAAATAGACATAAGCACAATGTATCATAATTTATCACTATTTTAGTGGGATTTTACTTTTGGGGATATGAAGGATCTTCCTGTAATCAAAAATGGCAATTGGACATCTGCTGCAAATGAAGGTTTGAACGAGAAAGTGGAACTATTGTTTTCTTCATTTTAGGCATTTACCAAAGGTTCAGAACGCTTCAAACATTCAAAATTCTTTAACTTGGCAGCAAAACCACCAACCAACTTTCTCAACTTGCGGAAATCTGGTCAACCAAAACTGGTTGGTGGTTGACCTACCCCTCTGAAAAATGATGGAGTTCGTCAGTTGGGATGATGAAATTCCCAACTGAATGGAAAGTCATAATCCAGTTATGTTCCAAACCACCAACCAGAAAAAATCATCACCAAAGTATTCCTCATCTTTTGCTCAGACCATCGCCGAAGTGGGGGCGTTGGGGAAACCCACAGCGCCGGCGCGGCGGCCACCGGTGTCTCAGCCACTCTTCGCACGTCCAATCATGGCCATGTGCTGGGGAGGGGTCCTGGGAGCATCACGGGGAGCCATGTCATGGTCCACAAAATCTAGGGTTTTTTTGGAGTTTACCACTGGGATTTCAGGTATACCTCTTATCATTGAGATTGTCATTGGGTAAATGATGATGTTACTTGATTTTACCACTGCCCTAATCTCAAGGGATTGTCATCGAAAATTTTTGGCAAATTTCAGACTGATTGGAGCGGATTGGCATTGGAGGCTATATATGCATTAGAGGCTATATAGCCATTATCTATGGATATAGAATGGCTATATAGCCTCTAATTCAAACTGTGTATGATTCTAGTTGATTGCCGAATCTGCCATTTCGAAACATCTAGTGAATCAGTTCATCATCGGGAGGATGGACATGTTCATGAAATCACCGACCATTGTTTGTTATCTTATAACAACAATTTTGGTATGGGGTATCCTCTGGTATTTAAACATGGCTAGCTGGAAAAAACAACACAATTAAAAGTGATTCTATGGATCGTTTCCAGTCTGGATAAGATGTTTTTGGGCCTGGAATAACTAATAGTAAAAATCGTTGTTTTTTCTTGTCTTTGAAAGACTAATTGTGAGTCATGGTCATTTAAATCATCTGCCTGCCCCAAATTAGAGTAACGTGTTTGTTTTTCCATCCTTTTACCGATTACCCTTTGGTAAACAAACATGGCAATGGAAAATATACCATTTATATCACATATATATATGTATAAACATTACTATATATATATATATATATACATATACGTAAGGACTTTAAGGACATGTCCTATTAGAGCCTTCAGAAAAATCAGGGATTTTCCAGCCACCTTTGCGCCGAGGAACTTGGATTTTTGCAGCACCGGTTGTGAAGTCGTCGGGTCGCCCAAATTGGACCTGGCCAAGTTGCTTCGAAACTCCAAATGTGTCAGGTGATTTATAGGAGATGTGTCATGCATATATATATATATAATGTATTATGTATGTATATATATATATATATATGCTAACCCCCACTGAAACCTACCGTTTTCAATTTTTGAATTGTGTTTTACAGTGATTTTTGTTGGTTTTTGCCTTCAAAAGCAGCCAGCATTTTTTTCATTCATTTGAAGACTTTGGATGCTTGATCGCGATGAGTCATGATACTTCATGTGTAGATACAATGACATAATTTGATGGTATTTGCAGCGTTTTCGTGTTCCCAACAAAGGGTTTCAATTCAAACATTGACAGAATGCGCACGGCACTGTGGCCAAATGTAAATTTTAAGCTTTACATTGGTTTTTAAAGTTTCTTTATTCCTTTTTGTGACACATGAAATTTTGGATGTTGTATGCTTTCAGATCTAGCAGGCATATTATTTGATGATCAATATGGTGGAAAGTTCTTATATATATATATACGTAGATCTTTTATAGATCCACATTTGTTCTTGAATCATGCTAATTTCCAGACACAGGCTCAATCCCTCAACTAGTAGGGCTCAATCTCCTCATATTTATACCCGCAACGGTGTCCTCAAACATGGCCGGGAAATCCCTTAGACATGGAAGTCTGTAGCTGGAAAAATCATCTATAAAAGGGATAGGTTCGTTTTCCCTTTTCCATTCAGTTTCAAGCCTTCCTTTCCAACCCATGTTCTCCCAAGTCGACGTTGCTTTCCTATCGCAGTTTTGCAACACATATCCACCCTCGATGGAGCAGGATCATACATCCCCTCCCCTCCACCGCCATTGATTTTTTTCACTACCCTCTGGTAAACTGTCCCATAACTATGGAAAATCACCATTTTTCATGGGACAACTCACTATTTCTATGGCCATGTTCAATAGCTTTTTGTTAGTCATAACCAGTAAGAATCACACACAAACGGATGATCTTTATCAACAACCCTCCATTTAAGGATACGAGTACCATGTGGTTATGACATTCACAGTTTGCCATGGAAAGATCCACCATGCTATTAATAGGTAAACCATCTATTTTCATGGGCCATCTATACCATGGCTATGTTAAATAACCAGAGGGTATATCAAAAAAGAGGCAAAAAAAACACAAACAACCCATTAAAAAAGAGAAAACGGTATATTAATGATAATCTGTTGGACAGTGGTTGCACTGGTTACACCATTTTCAAAGAAACCCATTGGTACTTGATATGTTTCAGGCATTTCATCTTAATTTCATCCATCATGCATCCCACACCCCCCGCTTAGATCCCGTTAAGTGGTTCCCTATTTTCCATCCAGTATAATTATTTCCCAATGTTTCCACCATGTTCCATTATCTAAAAAATGCCATTATATTTAAAATTGTCTAAAAAGAGAAAACAGTATGATAATCTGTTGGATGCTGGTGAACCAATAGCATTTAAAATAGCTTCCCCCTCCGTTCCCTGGTTCCCCATCAGCAGCCATCAGCAACGCCGCAACGCCTCACGCGTAGGAAGGGATGCCGCAGCTGTGTGGACATCGTAATCCCCGCGCTGCGAAGGCCCGGGGAGACGCTGGGCGAACACTGGATCAACTCCTCGGTGCATAGAAACGCTGGGCTCCCCTTGTCCAACCACAGAATGGGGCCCCCCAGTTATATGTTGGTTTATAAACCCCATGAATACTATAGTTCTCTATAGTTATATCTACCATAAACCACAGTTAAGCCACTTATATATATATATATCAACCACAATTATATCTACCATAAGCCATAGTTTTCCATCACTTTTGTTGTTGCTGAACGCTATCTTGGAGGCCCCATCCTGCAGGCTTTAGAGGGGGTATTGAATGGGAAGAGATTCGGATGATCATATATGATCATACATGATCATGGTATAACTGGCATAACCATGTTAGGATACTAAGGTCAAATAGCAAGTAGCTAACAACCATGGAATAACAGTAGGTTTCCAAATGAGGATCAAATTGATCAAATGAGCAGTTTTAGGTGGTTCTAGTACCTCCAGCTAGCCCACAACTTCTCATAGCATTACCCAATGTCATACAAACCCTTTGTTACCTTCTTCATTTGATGGGTTCTTTGTAAAACGCACTGCGATATGTATAACTTTAAGAAAAAACATAGACTGGCTGGTGGTTTCAACCCCTCTGAAAAATATTAGTCAGTTGAGATGATTATTCCCAATATATGGAAAAAGAATCCAGTTATGTTACAAACCACCTAAAAAACTATAGAGATCTAAAACACACTAGATTCCACTATAGAAATCTTCATTCCACTAAATTCCACAAACAATAAAGTCTAAAACCCAATGGGTGGATGACACTGGCTGGCGCTGTTCAGGGCTGTAAAAAAATCGCGTCCCAGGCACCGCCTGGCCCAGCTCTTTGTCGCTGAAGGATCTCGCCTTGAAGTCATCTCCTCACGGACCCCAACCAAGAAGAATCCGCAAAAAGCGACCATTTTGCCAGCAAAAAATGAGAAACAAAAAACATGATTTAATGATCATTTGGAACTCATCCACATGTTTTCTGGTTCAGAAGGATTTTTAAATCTTCACTTCAGCATTCAACATGCTTCAAGCAGGTGTATTTCAATGCAACATTTGAGCACCAGAACAGCAAGGGACCGTCCTACGGTGACAACGGTGACAGCGGTGACATGTCACGGCATGACGAAAGCCCAAAAATTCATGAGGATTGGACCAACTAAAATGATGGCATAATGGTGGTATACTGGGGGTATGGGGATATTTTCTGGAGATATACCTGGATTAGAAACTAAGAATCTGAGAAATCGCGGCGTCATGTTTGTATCAAAGATCCATCTTATTGGGGCGTGGACCCGCACAAAAAATCACTATGGAAATGACCCACTTTTTTTTAGGAAGGAAGAAATTTCATGATGGCACATGTGGGCACAGCAAATAGCATGGGAGAATCGTGAACCTATGACTATCCCATCGTGAATCCCCAGACTTAGACGATCTTCCCAGGATATCCACCCCAAAAATCCCACAAAAAAATCCATCGGAATATCCGTCGTGCATTCATTTCATATGACCAATATATCCATGGCAAATTGGAAGGGCACACAACGTAAATATACATATCATATTGTCAGGAATTTCCCAGCAGTTTCAGTGATTCCACACCAGTTTTCATTCATTTTCATTCTACAAGCCCCAACATAAGCATGCTTATGTCAGGCATTTTTTTCATGACATGTTCATGACATTTCCATGACATTTTCACTGGTCATATCCCTACTACCGGCCACCGGCTTGGTCGCACCTGACAGGAGGTAGGAAAGGATCTGTGACATATGGACGACACCTGCAGCTGGCTATGACAACATACGGATCTGCACAAAAAAAATAATCAATTCAAAATAAATAGATCCTCAAAATTTTGCATTTTTTGAACACCCTTAGATCTGACAAGATCCTGCTTCAGATAGACAAGTTCAGTTCCAAACGGTTTTTCGAAGCAGGTGGAATGGAGTGGACGGTTGATGCAACTAGCAAGGTGAGGCACCCCAGTTATAAGTTGCAACTATAGTTATAAACATCCATAAACCATACCTGGTTGGTGGTATAATTTTTGAAGTATAATATGGAAATAATATGGGATATATCAACATTTAAAAGGGAATAATATGGAATAATATCTGGTTGGTGGTATACCTACCCCTCTGAAAAATATAAGTTCGTCAGTTGGGGTTACTATTCTCAACTGAATGAAAAAATAAAATTCATGTTCCAAACCACCAACCAGATACACTTCACCAAATTAGAAGTGCGTCAACTGATTTCGTAAAGGTGTGCCTCAGCCGCTGCCTGTAGGTATTGTGTCCCAAGATTCACCCAAGATTTCTCCCAACATCCCAGTGCCGCGCCTCGAACGATGTAACTTCCTTCCATACTGGGGCGGGTCACCACTGCACCTGGGGAAGACGAACGGTGGTGCCATGTCTATATGGGATTCATATGGGATTTATATGGGATTCATATGGGATTCATATGGGATTCATATGGGATTTATTGATTATAATTGATTCGATTAACCATTATATATTAGCCATTATGATATAACATTATCTATTCTTTCGGGAAACCCCCCAACTCCCTTGGTGCTGCTGCGAACTTGGTGAGACCCACTGGACTGTCCGGAACTGCGCAGTTTCGCCATGACATCCAGCAATGTGGCCTGGGGCGCCGCGCCGACAGGGATATGGCTTATTGAAGCAATAAGTTTGTGGGGATACCATGGGATATGATGGTATAAATTAAATTATATATAATTTAAATTATGTATGTACCAATAGTACCGCACGGTCGGCGGGGGCAGAAGTTTCAAAAATAGGAAACCATGATGGAGAGGTTGGTTGTTGTGAATCACGGCAGAGCGAAGCCACTGATGGACCGAAAGGTGGTTGAGGTCTCCTCTCTTTCTCTCTCTTTCTCTCTCTTTCTCTCTCTTTCTCTGACTACCTACCTACCTACCGACCGACCGACCCACCGATCTATCTATCTATCTATCTCTCTCTCTCTCTCTCTCCTCTCTCATCTGTCTATCTAACTATCTATCTATCTTTCGACCCTCCGGAGCCACAAATCATTGGAAAAACACAGTGTTTCGCGACTTTCCTACCTTTTCGCGCACCTGGATCTTCTTTCTTCTGAGACTTTCTCTTTTTTGATCTTCTTTCTTCTTCTCTTCTCTTCTCTGACTCTTCCCACCTCTGCTTTTCATTTGTCCATATTGTCGGAAGTTTGACTTCTAAACTTCCTTCGATTAGTAACAGTATGGTGTATTGATGTATGTATATGGTGGCATTTAATTATGTATATATGCAACAAGTCATTGTGCAATGGACCAACAAGTCATGAGTCATGTGTTGCTTAATAAACCATGATTTTGACCCATTTTTCTAAGACCAATCACTACAGTCACTAGAGATGTGTCACCAAATCAAAAGGGGTATCCAGATGGACAAAACGGGATTGCATGTCTAAAAAGGATCCAAAGGTGAATCTAAAAATTGCGCGAGGAACATGATTAGTTGTTAGGACACTGAATCATCAAGCATGATTTTTGCTGACTTGAAAAATGTGGAAATAATGATAATAAACACGAATGACTGGCCACTGGTCACGGGAAAAGTCACACTTAGTCAGTAATTGTTAATAATACTTATATAACCATAGTGAATGACACATTTTTGTTCACGCGTGTGAGTTTTTGAAACTTGTTTTCTACAATGTTGTCCAGACGTTTAAGAAATATGTTTTGGCTAACCCTCTGGTAAACTAACATAACTATTAACTATGGAAAACCACCATTTTCAATGGGGATTCATCAACGATTTCTATGGGCATTTTCCAGTTCGCTTTGTGTATGTTTACCAGAGGCTAATTCTCAAACTAATATTGGTACCCCCAGTCATCATCCATTTTAGAATGGGATTTTTGAAATCAGCTTGAAATAAACCATCCAATGCTCGCTTGGGTAGCCCCATGACTATGCAAACCCTCAGATTCACAGATTCATCAGCGCCATTTCCGGATCCAAATGGCATCTTCCTCTACTGACAGCAGAGATCCGTTGCAAAGTTCGCGGAGAGTCTTCTGCCCACCTGCCATGGAGAGAAATATCCCAAATATGTGAACAAAAAAGAGAGTACATTGTGGATATGAATTGAAATTGAATGTAAGTTGAAATATGGATATTGACTTTACATGCAAATTGAACTATATCAGTCGATCATGATTATTTTTACATTGAATTGAAACATTGAAACTTGGCTACGTCTGGCTAGCGGCTAGCTTGTGCTGTTTGTCTGATGTTGTTTCGCTCGACGTAATTTCTATATGAAATTCTCCACTTGTGGAGGTGTTTTATGACTTCGCCAAGCAAAAAACAAAAACATGCATCGGTGGGTAGATTCACCTCATACCCTTTGATAATTTGTTCCATAGCGACTGAAAATGGCCCATAGAAATAGTTGATTTACCGAACTTAAAGATGGTGATTTTCCAGTTCGCAAAGTGTTTTCCAGTTTACCAGAGGGTAAATAAAAGTCACTAACCACTATTAACCACTATTAAACCACTATTAACCACTATTAACCACTAATAACCACTATTAACCACTATTAACCATTGGTTAATTGACCAGTCACTAATCAGTCACCAGTCTGCTTCTTCGACCCAGCCTTTCCGTAATTTTCCCCATAGATCCCATGGCGAAACCAGTAGCGGCTAGTGACTTAGCCAAAATTTGTTCAACGATGTTTGGAACAAAGCCATTGTAAACCCATTGTAGCCCGCAAAAAAGGCGACGTACATTCAGTACATGTCCAAACATGAAATATCCCGCAATATCCCCCTATATCCCCATAGATGGTTGGTTTTATACATCATGTTTTGTTGGTCACCCTCTGGTAGTTCAATGTAGCTTGGAAAAAAACAGTATTACTATTACTAATCTATCCATGGGCCAGCTTCCATAGCTATGGACAATTGGGTTTGTCTGAAAAATGGGATATAGCATCAAATAACCAATTTAATGGGGACATATAGTAATGAATCATAAAATATTTTCTACTCTATTTTCAGACAAAGCCAACTACCAGAGGGTAACTGCCAAAGTTCTTAGTAACGTGGGTAAAACAATGACATAAACCACCCATGACTAGGAATGGTAACCATACCACCTATAAAAATGGTGATTTAGGGCATTGTTTTACCCACATTAGGTTCTTTTCCCAGTGGGGACGATCTGGCGTTCGCTCTCGTGGCCGCCTTTCAGAAGTTCCTGGCTGAGAGATGGGAACGGCTTGGGGTAACTGCTGAGCAGGTTTGCTTAAATGGCGGGTACACCAAAATCAAATATATATATATATAGCCAGTACAACCTCAACATCATGTCTGATTAAACCACCATCTTCCCTATTCAAAGTCTCATGAACTGAGGTATATGCCATGTTCGGACAAACTCATTTAGAGTCTCATCCAACCAAAAAGTCACCAATTGATCAATCTACTAATTTGCCAAGGGTCAATCCCCGAAGTGGATCTTGTTACACGTATCATCTTGTTGCATACTGCCATGCACATCTATTCAACGCTATCTAAGATAAGTATAGCACTTATCACATCCCCCGAATATGAAACATCCCCATCCTATGGGCCCAAATCTGTGGTTTCTTCGCCCAAAACCATGGTTTCTAGGCGGTGTTTAGTATGATGGGGGGGCAAGGAAGCAGTTCAATGATGTTCAATGATTCACCATTGTTGCGCTTAAATATTTCAAAGAATCCACCAACATATACTAATCCATGCTTAAATATTGGTTCTTTAAATCAACAAAGAACATTTAAAGATAGCCTCTGGTAAACTAACATAACTATGGACAATCACCATCTTCAAGTTCGGTAAATCAACTATCAATGGGCCATTGTCAATAGCTATGGAAGAAATTACCAGAGGGTATCAGCACAGCCATCAGTGATCCCCAATGCCCATAATCCGCCCTAAAAAAATGTGTACCCCTCCTGTAGCTGCAAACAGCCCTGGACTGATGAGATCCGCAGCTGCAACTTGGGTGACATTGGTGACAGGTCTGTGTCGCTGTCCTTAGTGAAGGTACCCGGTAACTGGCTACCCCTACTCAGCCAGAACTGTTGGTCGATTTCTGAGGGATCAGTTGGGATTGAACCATCCAAAATTGAGATGGCCCTTCAAAAACAAGTGAAAGTTACCCTCCGGTAAACATACAAAAAACTATTGAAAATTGCCCATTTATAGTTGATGAATCCCCATTAAAAATGGTGGATCTTTCCATAGTTATGGGACAGTTTACCAGAGGGTAACCATCAAAGGTCATCAAATAATGTGGTGTTTCACAAAAGAACATTTGTGACTGAACCAATTTAAAAGTGAGTCAAACCATCAAAAAAGGGAAAACCCAAACTGGGTCAACATTTTGAAGGACACCCATTTTTTCCTTGCGTAGATATCATAAAGTTCTTGTTGAACAACAATGCCAACTGAACAACCTGTTTCGTGGCGAGTCATGAAGAACCTGAGTCACAAACAAATGGGGTTACCCCCCGTTTTCATCCATTTATAGATTGTTTTTTCCACTATAAACCATCCAGCTATTGGGTACCCCCATGACTGAGGAAATCCCCAAATTGGATCCTTCCTTAAAACATGCGAATTTCTTGCGGTGAACTGCCACCCTTGGAAAAACGGGAAAACCGCGGAGGATCATCATTGACAAATCCATAAAATCACCATTTTTCATGGTTAACCTACATGGGATTTTCCCGCTACCTGGCTTCGTTCATGCTTCAAACCCATCACATTTTTGACTGAAATCTCAATTTCAACACCTTCAAAGCTCATTTGTATCATTTTTCTTGTTTCAATCCCCAATCAAACCATCATTTTCCAGCATTTTTCCGCATTTTCCAAGGTTTTTCCTAGGATTTTCCTAGGATTTCCCTGTGTTTTCCACACCTTTCCCCAGCACCGGTGGGACCCTCAGCGGGGCCTCCTCCACCTGTCGCGCCGACGCGGTGGAGCCCTCGTGTAGCACCAGGACGCAACGATCCGCGCAGCTCAGGGCGCAGCGGCCGGCAATGTCCAGGCACTGCTCCTGGAGTGAAGTGGATTCGTCACCATATGGGTTTATTGATATGGTAAAGGTCATATAAGAATAATTCATGTTTGCAACATATGGTTTCATACATAGAATTATAATATAGAATAATAGATTAGAATATATAGATTATGGATATTTATGATATATTAATAATATAGTGGTGAGATAATCATATCATTAACCACTTATAGTGATCAAAAACTTAGTGATGATAGTTGATTCACAACTATCATTGACAAACTTAGATACCCTGCAAAAAAATAAATTCTTTGCTGGTGAACGTAGATATTCCCATTAATACCAAAAGACTGAAGGATTAGTTTGTATCCATGTAAGATTGACCTAGGATTAGTCACAGAGTTATGAATATGAATATGGTCTACCCTCTGGTAAGAAACAATATAATATGGTAAGGGTATGTAAGGGTAACCCTCTGGTAATATAGAGACTTAATAATAGTAATATAATATGGCCATAGAAACATTGTAACATATGGTAAGGGTAACCCTCTGGTAAACAACCATAGGACATATCCTCTAGAAATGGAGGTGATATATGGTTTTATGGGAAAAATATGGATCATAGCTACTGATACTATGTAAGGGGATATACACTCAAAATATGGGCTTATATAGTACCATAGTTATGGATCCTATTATTCTATATACATATTTAGAGTATCACCATAGTGATACTAGTATCCACCATAGCTATTATTCCAATTAGACTAATCATATACGTAGTAATCCACTGATCCTCTAGTATCCAATTAGATTAATTTAGAGTGGATCATAGTAATGGATCAGTGGAGTCACCACATAATGGAATAGTGAAGTGGATAGTAGATATTACTAGTGGAATAATCACAACAGTGGATATTTATCAGTGGATTAGTCACTAATTAATTTAGAGTGGATTAGTCACCACATAATATGACTATTTAGTATTACTAGTCACCATCCACTATGATATCCACTATAATCCACTATTTAGTATTACACTAACTTAGAGTGGATCATAGTAATGGATCGTAGTAATAATACTATGGATCATAAATAGTAATACTACAATCCACTGTGATAATGTCTATTATTAATATTTACTATATATTATGGTAAGGATTCACATTATAATAATCACTATTTAGTATTACTATATATATCTTACTAGTGAACCATAGTGGATTATAGTGGAGTGGATAGTGGATAATAGCGGATCAGTGGATGAATAATTATTAACCATAGTATCACTATTCATGACTATTTAGTATTACTATGTATATAATTAGATCACTAAAAATCATCAATGATTGAATATAATAACAATCTCTATGATTAATAGTGATTCTGATAGATGGTTATTGGTTAAAAAGATGGGATCATTAATATCTACACGAAACCATTTGTTTTTCCAATCAAATATGGTGGTTTCCTCTTTCTTCACCAAACCAGACCAAATAAAGAAAGTAATGGAGGAGAGGGAGGAGATTATAGCATCACTATAGTTGGGATTATAAATCATTTAAGGGAATCATGATCGATAGGGTCACTATCAGTGGTTGATCTATGGTTATAATAGTGTACTATTGGTCAATAACCTATGTGGTTAATAACGATGTGGGATGTGGGTAACCTATAGAGACCATAGTTGTCATAGCGGTTGTAATGAATGGTCAATTAACCAGTGGTTAAAAGTGGTTAATAGTGGTTAGTGACTTTTATTTACCCCCTGGTAAACTAACACAGCCATGGAAAATCACCATTATTAATTGGTAAATCAACTATAAATGGTCATTTTCAATAGCTATTTTGACATAACCAGAGGGTATGGGGAATATATTTTTTGGTGAATTCCCCATCATAATGGGAGTATAACTAACATGAAAATGGCAATCATTCAACAATATTGGTGTAAACAATTAAGTAACAAGATAAATAGATATCATTTGCTACATCTATGTGTTAAATCATCTCTACTTAATAGTGTGCTATATCATTAATCAATTAAGCGATGATTAAGTAACAATGATGCTATATCAATTGGTGATTCACCAATCAGTGGGGATCTAACACTGGATCTACTAACCATTGGGGATTTAGCGGAATTCAACATGGAACTACCATGGGATTTATGGATACAGTCAGTGGTTGGCTCAGGTTGTGGTCGTCAAGTTAGTTCAGCTGCCAGGCACGCTTCGCTGATGATGTATAAATGAAGTATTCCCAAAGAATATCGATTATATACCTTGATATATCTATATGTATATATACATATGGTAAAGAATGTAGTGTAGAAACATAATGCACCAGAGTAAACAATAAGAGCGCGAAGATGGGGTGTGTTCATTGAGGTTATAGCTTTGGGTGATGGGTGTCTCAATGGGTTTAGCTTTAGGAAGTTAAGACTAAGGTGGTGAGCAAAGGTTCACTGCTACTGTTCAAGTCAATTATATTGGCTCAGGTTGAATGTCTTAAGACTTCAAGAATCATCATGTATACGTCGCTGTGTGCCCCATTTGCATTGGGAACTACGAGGAGAAAGACGCACCGAACTGGCCAAACAAAACCGGTAGAGGAAGAAGAAAACACGGTGTTTGGATGAAGATTTCTGCAAGGAAAGAAGTTCTATCATGACAGAGCTTGAAATCCTGAGGCCATTTCGGTAAGTGTCAAGACTATCAACGTCTATCAACCTCTATCAACCTCTCCAAAAAGTATATTTTCAGATCCAGAAAACGTGAAGAAATCTCGTGAATTCTGTGGTTCTAGTGGTAGCCCGGTCGCCATTTCGGTCACAAAAAAAAGGGGATGGTCTCCTGTCCACTGACAATGCGGCAGTATTTCAGCACCTTAGAGAGGACATTTAGCCAGGTAGCCTCTGGTAAACTGTCCGTCCCATTTTGCTATGGAAAATCACTTTTCTAATGGATAAATCAACTATTTAAATGGTAATTTTCTGGTTGGTGGTTTCAACCCCTCTGAAAAATATTAGTCAGATTGCATCAGCATCCCAACTATTGGGGAAAATAAAAAATGTTCCAAACCACCAACCGGTTTTCAAGAGCTATGGAACAAATTACCAAAGGGTAACTGAAATGATTGATGGAGTAAGTACTTGTCCAATCTGTAATCTATTGGCACTTATCAATCAATGTACTTATCAATCATTGTCATTGTTGCTACTTAGATCTGATTGATAAAGCAATTGATGATAGGGATAATAGTGCAGTTAGATCTTATATATATATGTATCGTTAATCTAATCTGTATCTACTTGTATTGAAATCTGTAATCTATTGGTACTTATCAATCATTTTTGGTATCTGATTGACAAGTATTTCACTATTCCTCTGAAGACTTCAGTAATTTAACAAGTAGAGATGATTTACCCATAAAACATGCTGATTTTTGATAGCAAAGAATTGAATTACCAGATGGTACCCGGGATTATTTACGGGTGCTTTGCCAACAGTAGCATGCAACGACCCTCCGCAATGAACGATAGGAAACCATTCAAATCATGGTCACCCTCGACAACGAGAGTCCGCATGCGTAGCTTCCCCAAGCGTTTTCCCGAAGCATCCCCGATTTCTAGCCCAATGTGATCCATTTTTTTAAAGTATACCTACTATACTATGCAATGTACTGCTCATCTCCTTTAATCTCAATTTGAACATTTAAATATCTATACCCTCTGGTTATTTAACATAGCCATGGTATAGATGGCCCTAATCGAAATAGATGGTTTACCTATTAATAGCATGGTGGATCTTTCCATGGCTATGTTAAACAACCAGATGGTATATATACCACCACTCCCCCGTTGCTGGTGGTTCTCCAACCGTGGCGACCGAGGTCCAAGGATTCCAAGGATGCCACGTTCGGCCGCCAAGGCTATGGCCTAGGCGCCGTATAGCAACGCAGCTCAGACAGCACGCGGTCGCGGAGGCTGAAAACGTTGTCCATCATGCGCCTGTCGGTTGAGTCGGTTGAGTCGGTTGAGTCGGTTGAGTCGGTTGAGTCGGTTGAGCTGGCTGGAAAAACAGGCAATCGATGTGGGAAATCAATTTGGGAAATCCAGGAATCTATGGGAAATCTATGGGTGATTTTTCACCACGAAAATCGGAGATGTTCAACCGTATGTTAAACATGATGATTCAAACATCAAAAATCGATTAAAAAACATGGTGATTTGGCTAACTTACCGCCAGGAACATGAACATGAACATGATTCGGAAACCCTGCACCGAAAGGATGATTGATACCCTAGAAATTTCACCAACTGGTGATTTCGCAACCATCAATTGGATGGTGAATGGTAAGTCAACCAAACAAGGTGAGTTTTTGTGAAAGAAACAAATATGGTTTTAACAGGAACTTAACCAACACACTGAACATAATTTAACATCATCTAACCACCATGGAAAAATAATCTACATTTAATGTTCACCCAAAGGGAAATTATGGGGATATAAACCTTGCCAAGAATGGATCATGGGAAAGCCTTATCAAACGTTGCAATGGGACATCCAAATGTAAAATGTTAAGAGTTTATTAAGAGTTGATAAGTTCAATTTGTAATTGTAAGGTAATGTAATTATCACTTACTCTCTGGTAACTTAGGAGTTTACTAAGATTGCTATGGAACATCACCATTGTTTGTATCATCGAAGTAAATGGGCATCATCCCCAAGCCAGGCTGGAGTACATTGACTAGTGCAGGTAACAAATATAGAATATATATGATGATATGAGATGATGATAAGATGATATATTTTGCTTATGGTTTATTTCACACTTATATGCTGATGACATGATTATACAACTGCAGTTTTGGTTGATTATTTCATACTCAGAGTAATATGGTTTTAAGCTGAACTTGTCCAACACATGGGTAAATTGCCATCCGGTTGTAGTGAACTAACTCTGTTGAGTTCCGGGAAGCCAAAGTGAACGGATTCATGAACTGAATGGTTTGCTTGGTTTGATTAGTTTAAGTTGCTTCCAACCATCAACCAGCCACCATTTATGTGTTTCCCCCACGATGGCTACCAATAGAATTGGATCATTGTTTTCTAACCATCGGATTGGGGGTTCCGAATTTTGAGATAACCTTATCATGCCAACCTTAGATACCCTGCCCAATAAAGAAATTGTTTTTTGGTTCTCATTATGTCTCATTAGTGTATATCCATGCATTTAGCCAAACAGCATACATGTTTAAAGTTGCCAAATGGTTCATTCAGTCGCTTTCTGCAGTATATATCACATTCATATCCATTATGCATTGGATAATTCGCTGAAGGTCTTGGTTTTTCCCCACCTGCCAGGTGAGGGTTGTTAGATTTTATGTCAGTTGCCTGCTCCTCTCCTCTCCTCCTCCTCTCCTCCTCATCTCCTCCTCCTCTCCTCCTCCTCCTCCTCATCGTCGTCCTCCTCGTCCTCCTCGTCCAACTGCGACCCGCGATCCACAGTGTTCTCTGTCGGACCTTAACCACGACCATCCATGCTCAGTGTTCGCTGCCGGACCTCAACCACGACCATCCACGTCAGTGTGCCCTGCCGGACCTCAACCACGACCATCCACGCCCAATGTTCCCTGCCGGACCTCAACCACGACCATCCACGCCCAGTGTTCCCTGCCGGACCTCAACCACGACCATCCACGCCCAGTGTTCCCTGCCGGACCTCAACCGCGAGTATCCACGCCAAGTGTTCCCTGCCGGACCTCATGTAGGAAGATATGGGACAAAGAATGTGCAGAAGAAAGTTAGAAAGAATGTGCACCGCTGGACCTCAACGGCCAGATAGAATGCCAGAAGATATGCCAGGTGGAATGTCAGATAGAATGCCAGAAGATATGCCAGATAAAATGCCATGAGATATGCCAGATAGAATGCCTGAAGGTATGCCAGAAGATATGCCAGATGGTATGCCAGATAAAGTGCCAGAATGTTTGCCAGATAGAATGCCAGAACATTTGCCAGATAGAATGCCAGATAGGATGTCAGAAGATATGCCAGAAGATATGCCAGATAGAATGCCAGAAGATATGCCAGAACATATGCCAGAAAATATGCCAGATAGAATGCCAGAAGGTATGCCAGATAAAATATCAGATAGAATGCCAGAAGGTATGCCAGAATGTTTCCCAAATAGAATGCCAGAAGATTTTCCAGATAGGATGCCAGAAGGTATGCCAGAACATATGCCAGAAGATATGCCAGGTAGAATGCCAGAAGGTATGCCAGAACATATGCCAGAAAATATGCCGGATAGAATGCCAGAAGGTATGCCAGATAAAATATCAGATAGTATGCCAGAAGGTATGCCAGAATGTTTCCCAAATAGAATGCCAGAAGATTTCCAGATAGGATGGCAGAAGGTATGCCAAAACATATGCCAGAAGATATGCCAGGTAGAATGCCAGAAGGTATGCCAGATCGAATGCCAGAAGATCTGTCAGATAGAATGCCAGAAGATTTGCCAGTAACAAATCGATAAATGCCATGGTGGGGATCACACGAAGTAAAGTAATTTATATATATATATCCCCAATAGAGCGGAACAAAAATTGTGCCTATAAGTGGCTGGCAAGCCTTCTGTGCTTTCGCAGCAAGCAAATGATTTGTCAATCTGATACCATATCTATTGAATATTGGATCTTTTCTTATTTCATCTGACCTCATCGCATCGCAGTTTCTCTTGGAAATTGCTCATTGCATTCCACTGTCACCGCAGTTTGTATCATCCATTTCATCTTAATTCATCTCATGTGTTCATAGTTGTTTTCCCCTCGTCTCATCTCATTAGCAGTTATATTCCCCTGTTATGTCCCTGTTACATCACCAAAAAAAAAGGTTGGTTTCATACTCCATGTGTTTATCAGTATCCCCGTCGTCCTCATTGCACGTGTTCAAACACACCCGTACATCCCATGTTGGTTCCATGCGTGTCTAAAAATAGGGTATCCCCAAATCTCATGGTCAGCAACCCTATCTCAAACTCTTGGATCCTATATAATCTATGTATATATATATATGTACACATGAATACCATGAAATATGCACATAACATTGTTTGTTTATAAACTTCTCATATTACAGCAAATGCTTGGGTATATACATGTACATATGTACATATATATATATATATATATATGCATATGTACATTTATATATATATATATATACTCACATTTTATCTCTCTATCTTATCCCCGGTAGCCCTACCCATTCAAGATGGATCAACCATCTTGATTTTTCACCCAGGCACAGCTCAGAGGTGCTAATCACGGCCGCCGAGGGCTCCTGGTATAACCAACTGGTATATTTATTTTAATGGCTTATACAACTTATAGTATTTTACAATGCATAATCTATCTATCTGATCTGATCTGATCTAATCTAATCTAATCTATCCATGCATCTATCTATATATATATATATATATACACTATCAAAATGAACTTATGCACTTATATTAGCCATTCATTCAATCCACCATTTGTCGATCATTTCCAAGGAACATGATTGTTCATGACCATGGGGACAGAACTTGGAAAATCAGGGACAGGGAGATCTCATGAAAAAAAACGCCATGAAATTTTCATTTACCATCTGGTTATGACTAACATAGCCATGGAAAATCCCTCATAAATGAAGGTTTATAGCTGGGAAAATCATCTATAAATGGGACATCTATACCATGGCTATGTTAGTCATAACCAGAGGGTATTATGACATTCCATGAGGGAAACTGATCCAAAACTGATCCAAAACCCGTGTCACGCTTGATGTCACGTTTTCAACGGGGAATCCCGGTCTCAATCAGGATCAAAAGGGACGACACTGCACGCATATAAGCGCATACTATTTATATGATCAATATAATATAATATAATATAATACAATATAATATAATATAATATATAATATAATATAATTTAATATAATATAATATAATAAAATATAATATAATATAATATAATTGTTTCTAACTTATATGACTTCTACGATGTATGAATATGTATATCATATATGTTCCTATTTATTGAGTTATGAAAATTATATAATATAAATTGTATACCGAATACCAAATGCATAATTTAACCAACAGAAAAGGGGTTCACCTCAGCCTTCCACAAAAACATATCATGAATCGGATATCATTACGACGAGTTTTTGAGTTAACCGACATAATCCATCCCCAAAATCACCATTTTTATGAGTGGTATAAACCATCCGTTAAATGGTACAGGCAAAAGAGAAAGTCACGCCTAAGTCATGCCTACGGGGCTTCCCCCATTGTCACCGCTGTTTCCACAAGTCACGCCTAAGTCATGCCTAAAAGGCTTTCCTGCTTGTCACCGCAATCATTCCGGCACTCATTCAATTGATGTGGTTTCAAACTGTTCTTGTGGCCAATGGTTTCGATTGAGTTGTTTAACAATGGAATTCCACATTCGCTAAGAAAAATCTCCCCTGTCATGTAGTTGTTTATGGCATTGGATTTACCACAACACAGGGGATTCTTTCAAAATGGGGTATACCCCTTAAATGGACATGCTAATTTGGAAAATTTACGATAAACACTTTGGAAAATAGCCCATTTATAGATTTTTTACCTATTAAAAATGGTGATTTTCCATGGCTATGTTAAATAACCAGATGGTAAATTAAATGACATGTCAGTCCCATTTCAGTCCCATTCAATTCCACTTTTCCATACATGGTCAATCCCTGGTCTGATTTTTCAGGCCAGGTTCACTGAGGACATGATGAACTGTTACGTGCTATACATATGAATTATGTACATTAGTGTAGTATACAAAAATATATAGTAATATATCTAATAATATGTTAATTCTATATATATTATAGATATGATAAAAATATATGATATGATATGATATGATATGATATGATATGATATATAGACATCAAACACCTCGTGTTTTTGTTTGCATTACTCAAAGCCCCTTGTTTGTTTGTGACGCTCTCAGTTCAATCAATCAAAACATATCAAAACCATTCAAGACCTTTGTTTTTGTCGCTAATCTTCCCAATTTTCATGGTATAGCTAGGCATCTAGGCGATCCAAAAAATCGACAACAAAATGGCAAATGTTAGATGTTAGCCATAGTACATATATAATCCCCAAAATTTCCATCTTTATCGGTAATCTAGACATGCATAGACCATCAAAATATGGCTACATTATCCTTTCTGGCCAAGGTCGACCCGCTTGAACCCCTTCAAGACGGGACAGAAACTCCGTGGATTTTTGCGGCACCCTCTGGAGATTTGTTACATAGCTATATTCGCTATTGAAAATGGCCATAGAAATAGTTGATTTACCCATTAAAAATTGTGATTTTCCATAGTTATGGGACAGTTTACCAGAGGGTAGGTAACCACCAAAGGTCACCAAATAGCTTCTTGAAGAAATTGTGAGTTTCCAAGGGTAGATTGTGGTTTACAAAGGCAAATAGACCAATTTGTGGCACAATTCCCATTGAAGTTTCCAATGAATTCTCCATCTCCTCTATCACTTTCTTCATTTGGGCTGGTTTGGTGAAGAAAGAGGAACCACCATATTTGATAGGAAAAACATGGAAAAACCTGTGGTTTCCTGTACAACCAGTTATAAGTTGGTTTATAACCACCATTAAGTATAGATAAATCTACCATAAACCAGAGTTAAACCACTTATATCTCAACCTGGCTATCTTGGGGGCCCCATCCTGTAGTCAACCCACGTCAAGGTCCTTGAACTCGACCTCCGTGTCGGTGGCTTCCGACTGTAGAAACTCACAGCTGTAGTTGTGGGGCGGCATCGGAATCCCTTCCACCTGGCGAGGCGGGAAGATCAATCCTCCAAGATTGCTGGTTGCTTAAAAAATGTTAAAAGATGTTAAAAGATGTTAAAATATACTAAAAGATTGGTTGGTGAATCCTCTTTAATCTTCCAAGATCGATCCTCAAAACAAAAATGTGCAATTTCTCCTCATGGTTAGGTGGTTCATGTTGCTTCAAGTTTCCATGCGAGTGGTGAATCAATCCTAGGGTGAAATTGCAAGATCATCAAGATCTGTCACTGTTGGATACTGTTGGTTGACATCACCATTTCCATGCCATTTACTGTCAACACAGAACAACATATCATTATACTATTATATACTATTATACTGTCACTATAATTCATATCTATAGTATAATAGGATACTGTTGTAGTGACATAGTGACATAGTGCTCTGTGAAATCACCTTTTTTCAATCAAGAAAACATAACCCGAATATAATTTGCCTTGTGAAATCTCAAAACTTTGACCCTCTGGTTATGACCTTCACAGTTCGCCATGGTTTTTCGATGGCCGATAGAAATAGATGGTTTACCTAGCTATAAAATGGTGTTTTTTTGGTTTATAGATGGTTTACCTATAAAAAAAAAAGTGATTTTCCATGGCGAACTGTTAGTCATAACCAGAGGGTAAATCGTGTCAACAATTTCACCAAGTCAGTGATTCCAAGCCTCCCAGATTTTCCCCAGGTTTTTCCTCCAGTGTTCCCCAGGTTTTCCCCATTTTTTTTCGTTTTTTTTTCGCCCAGCCCGTGGCGGAACACCACGGCGCCTCGGGTGGAGATCCGGGCGTCAAAACGGGCGCATGCAGCGCCAGCAGAGCACGCAGCTCTGCGCGAGTGTACTTCGTGCCATCCTCGCCGTGGCATTCGTCCTGGTTTCGCGGAAGTTTCGTGAAAATCGATGGGTTTTTTCGGATCATCTAATGGTGATATCCTAAATGATGTCATCATATAGAATCAAAATGGATCAAAATGAGAGAATTTCATGGAATAACCAATAATTTTGAATCTCATATAGTATGATAGTACGTTATAATGGTGATTTTTTGCAGTAGCATTGTATACAAATATGGCATCCTCATCGATATAATGGTGAGAATTTCTGGGAGGATTTCAGGAAGGAATACTGGGATCATTAAAAATGGGAATTATCACCCATCATTTCACCATTTAATGGGATATGAATCCTACATTACGTATAACAATGGTGTTTGTGTTTTACCAAGAAATGGGGATTTAACGGAAATATATACGGTAATGGTATATGTGGTGTCCATTAATATTATGTCTAATGGACTAACTAATAATGGGATATTTCATGGGAATTAATAACATTAACCATCCCATTTTCGTGAGTTAACATGTCCATTAATTATTCCATGTGGATTTAGTGATGCTAGCCCACTGTTAATGATGGGAATAACGGACTAATAATGAGATGATAGTGTGAATTTGAAAGGGTTTTTATCAATGTATCGATGTTAGCTAAGTTGGGTTAATGATGATGATTAATGATTAATGGGATAGGAATGGTAGTGCTAACCAACAAATGGTGATCTAATGGGATATAATGGGATATATAATGGGTTAATGTTATCCATGAATAAAATAAACTAATAATCTAATAGGATTGGCCGGATTTCAGCCAGAAAAACATGGTGGCAATATAGGGATTTCACCAAAACATGATAGTGCAAATGGGATTCAAAAGATGGGATCTGATTAAGCACGAGCAATGGTGATATCATGGAAAATATATATTGCTGATTTATGTTAGCTAAGTTGGGTTCTGATGGGATTTTAACCACCAAATATTGGAACAATAATAATAGGATAATACTGCGATACCGATGGGATTCATAATGGGATCATGGGACAATAGTGGGATCAATAATGGGATACATGGGATCATTATAGGAACCAATAATATCGTGAACCAATGGACTAATGAGATACACATGGGATAATACAACCAAGACAAATGGGGCTTTCATGGGATTGAAGGTAGACAATTTGATTTTGTATGTATCTCCAATAGTTATGTCACTAGTTGGTGCATTTAGAACTCGGTGGTAAACATCATTGAACATCACTCATGGAAATTAACAATTGGGTAGTACTGGGATCATATTTGGAAAACAAATACCAAATCAGCTCTGATTGGTGGTATACCTACCCCTCTGAAAAAGATGAGTTCGTCAGTGATATGTGATGATGAAATTCCCTATGGAAAAATAATCCAGTTATGTTCCAAACCACCAGAGTTCGATATATCTACCATGGCCCCCCAAGAGTTCTTGGAGTTTTTTGTTACACCAAAATTTGCAGTGTCCAGGACCTCACCCCAGCTTTTTGATTAAAAAAAACTCCAAGAACTCTTGGGGGGCCATGGTAGATATATCGAACTAGTTACATCTAGTTACATCTAGTTACTAATGTCAACCCTGGATTAATAAACCCCTAGGCTGTTTAATTGGGATGGTACCATTTAAGTATTAGATTATGACTCTTGGAGGAGTACCCCCTAATTAATAAACCATGGTTTAGCAAAATCCGGGGTTGACATTATATGTTACCTGTTGGTTTATAAATGTATAAACCAAGAAACATTTCACTGGAGGAACACCACCTTGTTAGAAACATCGATCTGGGTAAAGGCCATAATATTTCACGTTCACCTGAATTCTTGGGCCATAAAAGGGGATGATTCCCCTAACATAAACCATGATTTCCAGGCTTCGGGAGAACAGGCTTCGGTCGCAACATCATTTACCAGGAAATTAAAATATCATATATCTAGTGGATTCTAATGGGTTGTTAATGGGTTATACATATATATATATTATATATATAATGCCAAGTTAGGATTAATAATTCCCGCGGTATTAATCAACCCCCCTCTGCCCCCCAAAAAAAATGTAATTTAGAAAAAGGTGGTCCCCCAGGATTAATAAACCCCCCCGACTAAAAAAACACCAGTGCTGAAATCATGTTTTTATCTAACAATTTTTATTTCCAATTCTATTTATTTCCAATTTGTTTTTACATTTTTTTTAATCATCATTGTTATACTTAAGGTTTAAGTTTATCATTGAAAAATTCAAAAAATGACTATTCCCCAAATGATCGATTTCTAATTAAAATCTTTATAAAAATCATCAGTTTGGATAGCTCAAAAAGGGTACCCCACAAGAGCCCATGTCCCCCATTAATAATAACCATGGTTTGCCCCCGATTAATCAACCACCTTTCTGATCCATGAGATTTTAACAAATCCAATAGAATTCTATTAAGATCTAATTGACGTAAGCCATATCCAATTTTTTATGGTTCAGAGTTGCTTATTATTAAGGGGTGGTCAAGAAACTAGCCAGAAGGTACCCCCCTACCTACCGGGGGGGGTTGATTAATCCGATGTTGGCATTATATATGATAATTTTATGATAATGATTGATAATGGCCATTATAGATCGATTTTATCGACATCACATCTTTCGGGCCCCATCTTTCGGGCCCCGCCCTGAACCCCGGAACCGGGCCTTGAACATTTGGTCCAAGACGTTGGCGATGGGCCGTGCTACGAAGTAGAAGATCAACTCGAGAAGTGAAACCAAGGGAACCTGAGGTGAAACCAAGGCCAGTGCAGATATAGGACATATCCACTAGAAATGGAGGTGTTATATGGTTTTATGGGAAAATTATGGATCATAGTTACTAATATTGTTGATGATCCATAGTTGTGGATCCTATTATTCTATATGTGGAACGAAGGGAGCGAAGGGAGATCTATGGGAGATCTATAGAATATGATGAATTTCTGTTTTTTAATCATTGGCCATTGCAGGAACCTAAATTTGATTGGAGGTACCGATTCCATTTATTTTTGGCCAAGAAGTTTCAGGCCTATTTTTGAGGGAATATCCCAGCAAAATATGGCCTTATATGATACAGTACCTCCATTTTAGGATCCTGAAATTCCCATTGACTGAGGTTCTTGGGCTTGGCTGGTTGATCAAGGGCCATGATTTGGACAAGCATTACGGTAAAATATGGGGTTCACCCTCCAATCAGGGTTTATTACTAATCTAGGGTTGACATTTTGGGGAATTGAAGATGGTTTGAAGTTGTTTGAAGTATGACTGATCTGTACGGTAAAACATGGCTTCTTTGAAGCCTCTGGCTATTCTTTTGGATTATGCTTCATATTGCATCATACGCAGCTGGTAGCTGATTGCTGTTTGGACTCACAACATTTTGACATGTCATTGTCCTTATCAACGGTGGTCGACGAATGAAACTGTCTTACTTTCCGCTAATCAAACATTGCAGTGGAAAATCCTCCGTTTATAGATGATTTTCTTCTTGAAATCTCCATTGATCAGGAATTTTACCGTTGCCATGTTTGATTACCGGAGGGTATTTATAGCCACCTGACATAGGCTGACATCTTCGGGTGTCCACTTCTTGCGGAAAAAATCCGAATCTTTGATCTTTGCACCTAAACTTGACAGTCGTGTTGATGGGCAAAATGGCATCCCCATGTGCACCCTTCGGCAATCAAATGTGGCTGGCTGGGAAATCGATTATAAATGGAGGTTTTAATTGGAACATCATCTATAAATACATGTTGGTTTTTCCGGCAAGCCATGTTTGATTGCCGGAGGGTACCAGCACAAGACACATGATGTAGATTTAAGATCCGCCCACACGTTTCACATGGCCCCATATTTAAAAACCCTCGTAGCTGTGAATGCATTCACCACGAGACACCTTGGTAGATGGCGATAAAACACTGGAATCTGAAGGTTTCCAATCCATTGGGGTACCTCTAAATCATTCAATTGAACTGAATTTTCCATGAAACCTACATTATTTTTATTTAAAAAATGTTTCCAATGAATTGGATTTTCCATGAAATCAGTGGGAGATCTCCAGGATCCAATACATGGAGGTACTGTACCATATAAGGCCATATTTAATTATTTTGTGGTGATATTTCCTTACATAGGCCTGAAAAATAGGCCTTATATATGGTAGGTACCTCCAATTTAGGATCCTGGAATGGCCATTGATGAAGTAATCATTTATATTCATTTATAAACTTATAAACCATCCAGCTATTGAGAATTCCCAATAAGGCTACGGAAAGCTCCATGGCTGCCATGGCTCTCCCAGCTGGATGCCCAGAAACCAGGCCCGAGGCAATCGTGAACCTCGACGACGTTTCAGTCATGGAACCATGGCAACAAGGTGGTGGGAACACCACCAGTGAAATGTATCTTGGTTAAAAAGATAAAACAACAGGTACTATGGGTGGTGCCCCAGTTCGTTAGCTAACTTGGGTTATATAACTCCAATTTTTATAGGGTTTGTAGGGGATATAACTATAGTACTGTGGTTTATAAACCAACTTATAACTGGGGGGGCATCACCTTGTAACTAGTTGGGTACCATAAACGCACCTCTTGAGGTATTGGAGTAAAAAACACAACAACTTAGCTATGGCATATTTAAGGAGGATCACCCAACTTAAGTGGTCAGTTTAACAATATTTATTTCATCAATAGATGGGAGAAGCCTAACCGAATGGGGACTTACGAACCAAGGCGTGACACCAGGACCATCGTCATACTAAAAAACCGTTACACATGGGATCAGGTGGGGGGATAACCAGGGTTCCTCATAAAATCATAGATAATGGACATCCAAGGTACAACAGCTCCAACAACTAGGGTTTCATAGGTAGATGTATCAAGTTACTATCTGGTTGGTGGTTGAACCTACCCCTCTGAAAAATATGAAAGTCAGTTGGGACTATTATTCCCAATATATGGAAAAATAATTAAAAAAAACAAACCACCAACCAGCTATGGTTTACAAGATTTATAAACCAACAATACGGGGGCAACCAACAAATGGGGTATTTCTATGGTATTTTTTTCGCTTTATGGCGGGATAGTGGATTCAGCCATTCAACTGGTGGGAGAATGGGATAAACTAGGGATTTGACATGATATGACTAGGGTTGATACTGGGACAATAGGATAAACAGCTGTGTAGTAGATGGAGATTACAGCAAAATACGGAGATTTCACCAAAAAAAAATAGAATGGACATGTCAACTACGTCAACCAGCAAACATCTGGGGAGTTAACCCCCAAGAAAATGGGTTCCACTCCACGATTTGTCATGGTTTAAGTCACCGAACATGATGACATGGACTGCATCGTATGGGATTTCCTGTAGATTATGCTACCTGGAAGTGATAGTGTCCACTTTATACAATGAAAATTATCCATGCCGTGCCCTAAAATCAGGGTGGGTCATCAACCACGACCCATATAATATATATATATATTGATATCTACACATAAACATATAATATATATATATAATTATATATATAATTCCATATATATATATATACATACATAAATTGAGGAAGAGAGGTGAGGTGAATGTCCCCATTTCAATGCTTCGATGATCCTAATTTAAGTCTAGCTATTACTAGCTATGGCCAGCCCGCCGTGAGGTCCATTTCTGAGTGGATTGACCAATGGTAAACACCAAGTTTTAGCAAGTAGTTTTGGATGTTGATCACCCAGAAATTTGTGGAAGACAACTGAACATGATAGAAATGTGTGGAAAATCGCCCAAAATAAGAGAACAGTACGTAAACTCATCGAAAAACATAGGTTTTGTTATAAATCATTAATATATAGTAATTCCATTATTATGTAGTATCATTAAAATCACTACATTCTTAATAGTCCATTATTATTAATATCCCTAGTCATAGATCAAAGACAGCGGTGACTCTCTCGAAAAACTTCCTATCCAAGTCACTGATTTGGACCGGTGAAGACTGCGGAGGGCAAAATCTCACCGCAAATCAGGACCACCGAGACCGAGAGCCTTATGGTCGGCCGGCGAGGAGGCTCCACGTCCACCAAAATGGTTGGTCGACCAAAATGGTTGGCTGATTTTGGGGGATATTCAGACAATATATGGTAAGTCCCAAGAAATTTAGGTCCCTGAAATAGCGATTTAAGTCTTTTGTTGATATCCCCATACTTCCGCCAAATATATCCACTATTTACATATGGGTGTGTCTGAAAATAGTGTACCCCTACACCCAATGGTTAATGATCATTATCCCTACTAAATGGCTATAACTGGGGGTATACCCCATTTTGGAAGCCTACCCATATCCATATCCAATAAGTTTGGAAAAACCACATGATCCGTGTTCAAAAGCTGCTCCACGCCGTCCCCTTGATCCTGGTTGAGAAATGATATCGACATTTGTCGTGGATTTTGAATGGCTACTGACTGTATCTTAAATTACAGGAAGGGTAATCAACACGCAACCATTTATAATAGAGGTATAATATCTGAGGTATATGGAAATAATATGGAATAATATGGGATATATCAACATTTATATGGGAATAATATGGCAAAATATCTGGTTGGTGGTTGAGCCTACCCCTCTGAAAAATGATGGAGTTCGTCAGTTGGGATGATGAAATTCCCAATAGATGGAAAATAATCCAGTTATGTTCCAAACCACCAACCAGTGTATTGTTTTAACAAAGAAATATAGGCCTTTGACTTTGACTGGAACATGCTGGCAGCCATGGGCTGAAAAAACACTTGGCCGAGAAAAATGAAACCAAAATCTGGCTAGACATTTCATCAGACACTCAATGACGTTTTTTTGAGCAAAATCTGCGGCTGATTTCCCCCTTTGTAGTTGGTGGATTCCCTATGCAGGCGTGTTGTGGCTTAAATCCTCCATACATGTCATACATGTGGCTTACATCTATCTAAGCGTCTATTATCTTAACTCTCCATATCTGTGGTTTACAGTAAATACACCATTCGTAATCCGAGTGTTTGCTGAATTAACCCCAGATGTGTCTTGCTTGACACCCCAGATTTTGTTGCTGATTTCCCCCATTGACATAAATATAGTCTTAAATCCTAATACAGTAACTCCTATAAACTAAGATACCAAAGAGATCCGAAGAGCAAATCATCACAAGATGATGAAATTCGGAATTGAGAAACTTCCATCCTTTCTGATTGGTGGTTTCAACCCCTCTGAAAAATATTACACTTTATCACACTTTATCGGTCGGCCGCAGGGTGGTATTCACGACCCTGCTGCTCATCTCTCCACGCCTCACCACTCCACTTGTGGGTTAAATGCCGCCACGTCTTGTGACGTCACCAACTGCCTCCCTGCAATGCGCAGAATGACCGCGTCAAGTTCCTTCAGCCTTGTGGGGGAGTAGCGCAATTTATAACACACCAACCACCTAGAAATAGCACTTGAACTAGGACGTGTCAGTTTCTGAAACACAGAAACCTCATTGGCTTTCAAAACTCCTTTCCACAATGAAAGAAAATTTGGTCCTTTCACCCCAAGGTCGCTTGGCAGCCTGGGGAGCCAAAAGTTCAGTATCGAACCAACGTTTTTTGAAAATCCATGGGCCAAAATGGCCGGCACAAAGGAAGAAATCTAAGTGCAGCTGCAACCCCGAAACGAAAACTAAGGGCCCACTACCACCCAGAACTTCCCTACTGACTGCACTCCACCATTCTGTCAGATTGGTCGTGTTCAGGGGCCCCTTGCGAGCGACCATGCGCACTGGCACTGTCCACTGTTGCGGTACCACTGTCACCTGTTCCACTGAGTTCGGAGCTCTCCTCCACCGTGGGAGTGTCTGGTTTTTGTTCCATGACTGTCTGTCTAGCTTGTTGCAGCAAATTCCGCAGGATGGCTCGATGCAGACCACGATGCCACACCAGCGCTGTCTCCAAGCCCACGCTTCTAAGGGATCTTGAGCACCCCCAACTGCACAATGCGACACCACCTTGACAATCTTAATGACTCCACCCTCCCAGTCAGCCAAAACATCGGAGATCTGCAGCCAAAGATCAGTGTGCGCTCGATTGCGCCGCAAGGGCTGTCCACTCTGAAGACGTCGGAAACCTCGCACAACCCCTGGGCAGTCAGACCAGAGCCGCGCAGAAAAACCACTACTTCTTGCCCATCTCAAAGCATGCACCAATGCCGTGAGTTCAGCTCGGAAAGCAGATTCCTCCAAACCCCTAACATGTCCAGCTAGGATTAAATCATGTCGTAAATCACCAGGACCTACAATAGCCCGGGTGACGGCCCATGCAGCGTATAGCGGAGTTTGGGATCCGCAGGGCAAGCTGCTGTGCCATCAACAAACAAATCAATCCATTCATTTGGCTTACCATGATTAGACGGGACGAGAGAGCCACGACACGGATCAGGTGGATCCAGCAAATGACCGACATAGACCTCCCACTCTGGCAAAATGACAGGCCAACCATGGACAGACAAACACAATGGCAATTGCGGGATGGCAGACAGCTGGTTTGGGGTAAGATGGCGACGACAAGAAGCAAAATGGGGGCAAATCCAAGCTCTGTGACAAAAACCATCTCTGTCTGAGCACCACGGACATTGATTGGTAACATCATGCTGAAACTTGGCTCTACCATTATTGACATACAAGGTCCCATCCAAGTGACAACGCAAGAAGGCAAGGTCACCCGGGCCATATTGCCCCAGTGCAGCATGCAACTCAAACAGATCAACAGTGTTGATACCATGCATCGTGGTACGATGACCGACCTCTCGTTCCAAAACCACTCCCCAGGACAAAGTAAACCGCACCAGAAGTTCCTCAAATCCAAGGGACACCAAGTTGAACGAACCAAATGCATCTTGAATCAACCCATTCCCACCGATTGTCTATCCCAAGCTTTGAAGGCGATTCACCAAAACTGCAGTTGGGCCATTTCGTGGCAAGTCCAAGGGAACGGTGCCATACAAGGCTAACATGGCTTCAAGCGGGTCAAAACCCCCCAACTCCCGCGCATCGCGAATGGTCTGCATGATGGCCCAGGCTTCTGGATCACCCAGCAGGTGCTGGATGATCAAGTGGAGTGCCGGGTTGGCACCTTTCTTGTTACTCCGCAAACCTTTCATGGCACCCGACCTGAGCTTCTTAAAGTGACACCCCCCAACATGGACAACGGAGCACCCGTGCAAAGCTTTTGGCCATCCCATCATTCGCAAGGCTGTGTGTTTAAACCTGTAAGGTGACAGGCTAGCACGCAATTTCATCCAAACTGCTGGCAAAGTGGCTAAGCGCTGTTGCAAAACTGAGTTCCAGCAATGGCGTGTGAAGTTCTGATGAGCTCCCAAATTTCGTGCAACATGCGCAACCTGGACAACTCCCTGGCGGAACAGTGCCCGTGCATCAGCGTGGGTGCTCCAAACTCTGGTTTTACCCATGTCCATGGTCAAGTCCAAGCATTCAGCGAAGCGCAAGAGGGAATTCCACAAGACATCAAATTGCTGGTCAGAGCGAAACAGAATGCCCCCAATCATCAATGAAAGCCTGGAAGTGTAGGAGGCACCTCCACTTGTTGAAGCCACAAATCCAACAACCAGTCCAAGATAACCATTCCAAAGACACTCAAGGCGCAACCCTCAGGAAGTCTCGTACAGGAATACAACGGAGCACCAACTGAACCCCTTACACGGAAATGCCTAGCTTGGCCAGAAACAAAGGCAGCCCACGCACGCAAGACAGGAACTGGGAAACCCAAACGATGCAAAGCAGTCCAAAGCGGCATTCTTGGAATAGCATTGAAACACTTTCGGATGTCCACCAAAACCCCATGCAACGGGAGGTCATCCATGTATGCACGCTCAAGTTCTTGGGCAGCGGAGTACCAAATGGTTTTGGCCTGCCTGGCTGGCAGCCCTCCTTGCACACGGTCAGGAACAACTTGGCTCAAGCTTTGCAGGGCTTCACCAGCCCGTTCGGATGACCAGATCCGGTAGCCCAAAGAGTACACCGTCACAGGCCTGAATTGGTCGACGGCCTGGGCATCTGGCTGCTTGGCTAGGCTAGTTACGAACCCTCGGGCAAGTTGGATTGGCCACGACGAACCATTTTCCACTTTCTCACGACAACCCGAAATTGGCAGGGCCGCCAGGTCTGGTTGGGCAACACCATCAGGGCCTCTAGCTGCCCACTTCTTTTTGCGCGCCACCGCTTTGCTAAAACGCTCTGGGGTCCAAGGCTCGTGTTTCCACTGAATCGGCCTCAGATGCTGCTCTATGAAAGCACTTATCTGATCCCATTGGCCCTCTGCAGCATGCTGGATTTTGTTCCACCGCGGCTCCCAAACTTCCCTGAACTTGGCCAAGATGGCCTCATCCGTCAGCACTGCATGCTCTTGGGTGATAGCCATGCCCGGCTGCAAACCTGAGACATCTTCAACCCAGAGCTGATCTGCCTCATGATGCAAAACTTGCAAGACCTTGCCCTGAGCCACTACAGGAACCCCTGGAATCAACTGGATTGGTATCGTTAGAACCACAGACTGTTCATCCTCACGCACCTCTTCTACCCCGGCTTCCACTCGGTCAATGAGTGTGTCTGCTTGAGGCAAAGGATCAGCACGGCAATCCTGAAAGACAAAATTGAGTGAACTCTCCCTGCGTCGTTTGGCAAAACTATATCTGGAGTGTGCAAGTTGGGCTTCATACTTGCGAACAAATCCATTGAGACTGTCAAACATGACTGCCAGGATATCCGACGGCGGACAACTCAAAGGCAAGCCTTGGCTGCATTGCGGTGCAAGTTGCTGCTCTGCCCACCAAGCTACAAATCCAAGTCCAAAGCCCGGGGCATGACGAACTGCACGCCATGTGTCCTGCATGTTAAGTTCAGCCTGGTAGGAGATTGTGGCCCTGGCACTTTGCTGTTTCAATGCCTGGAGCCTACGGAGCTGCTTGAAGTATCGTGCATGCTGAAGACTCACCCCAAAAAACCCTGTAGCAACCTCCCCATGCC